GTCCTTGTCAGACTGTACCTCAGCCCAACAACCCTGTGCCAATAAGAATACATCGAGCTGCCTTCATTCTAAGCTGCTTGTTGGAAACTTCCAACTGATCTAACAACTTATGGATTATAGACTTTTGCTGTGGTCTTGTCAAGTTTTGCCACCATGGTCGTAATTTATACCACTCCATCTGATCCTCAAATGCCTGCAGATAAGAATTCATTCGACCTCATTGCACTTTAACCAATTCTTTTGCGTCATGATGATAAACATCAAAATACAACTGTACCTTAAGATTAAGTTGTAATTCATACTGCTCTGTATAGCTATATAGCTCAGCAATCTCATTGGCATGTATGTCAGTATCGTCATAAACAAATTCTAAATCTGTAGTTCTGTTGCTTTCCTAAAATCATAGGAATAATAAAACGATAAGAAATAGATATTAAATAACATGGCTAAATATTGAGCTATGCAAATTACTTTGATAATTATAACTTTTATCTTATCTCCACTGAACACACAACTATTTTTACTACATGAATTACACACATTTGCAATACTTGTAAAATTTTTTAAATTAATACATACACAATAATACATCATGGAAACAATTTTTACATCCTACTATATACAAATAAATATCAAAGATTGCCAATTATCACTTATTTGTTACTGTTATTTTAATCGTAATTAAATTATAGGCAAAATATGGTCGTATGTGGATGCTGTCAAAGAATAGGTTAGGACAAGAGTGACTGCAAATCCAGTTCACAATTGCATTCCCGCGTTACGCGAATTTCCGAAATAATTTTTAGCGCGATCCTACGACTCACATCGTTGCTGGCTGCACGTCGATGGGAGTACAAGGGACCCCCATGGAGAGGATCACGCTTCCCATTCCCGTTCGCATCCATCGTTACGTCGCACAACATTTTTCTCGCGATGGGCCTCGGCCGCGATATTCTTGTTTAGACCATCACAATCAGTACGATGATCTATCGCGATATCCGCGTTACAAATCGTATCATTCACAAGTCCTTTGACATTTACGTCGTCTAGTTTCTCGAGCGACAAACTGCACTATAAATTGTTTGTTTCCCCACTTACGTCACATTCTAACCCCGATTTACAATGAGGATTTCTGCTTACATAGTTATTGGATTTTCTTGTGCATGTTTTACACGATCGATCTTCGCAAAATATAGTCGGAATTTCGGAAAATAGATTTTGCCCGCTTAAAACACGTTATTTCGATGAAATTTT